CATTTTTCTCGAGTATAATATATTTCTAAAGGTGCTATATTGGTCATGAAAATTTAGCCAATGTCGATAACAACCCATTGCAATCCACACACTGCAAAAAAAAAACTAATAAATAATGTTCAGAATTAAAGTTATTGTGTAACTATCAGTAATAGGACATGACACAGGGAAAAAGAGTTATTGTACTTGGTATGGTACGAAAAAGCCTTGTGTCGGTAAATGACAGCTTCAAGACGCCTCGCCTGTATGGAGAGAAACTTAGTCGAATGCATTGCTTCAAGGTGGTGATTGTTGGCGCCATCTCTTCGGCAGCCAGTTCCTTCAAATCTTGAAAGTTTCCCGTGGGCCTTTTCTGGATGAACTCTGACGTCTTTGTAGTGTCTTTCCATAGATTTTCTATGTTGGATTCAAGTCCAGGCTGATTGGCTGGGCCCAGTGGTAGCAGCTCATCATCATTTGTCATTTCTCTGCAAAACCAATTGAGCAAGTCTTTCCTTGGCTGTGGTTTTGGGGATTCATGTTGCGTCTTTAGCTGAAATGTCCACCCCTCGTTTCATCCTTTCATCATCCCGGTTAGATCGGGGCACAGCAGATCTTGTAATCAGGCAACTCGTCCTCCGGATCACCTTCTTTTCCAGTTCATCTCCTATCCTCAATTGTATATAAAGTTTTTCGCCAGTGCCGGTATGCTTGAAAACCATGCCCCACACACCGGGTGATGTTACTAACAACTCCAAAACTCGGCAGGCCGTTTTGTTTGGTGGTTGATGGTTCGTGTTTGTTTGGGGTGATGCTGCAGTGCCCATTTTGACTTCCAAACAATGCTTGGTCTTATGGTAGTTGCCAAAGAGTTTGTAATTATTGGTCTGAATCTGACCAGACTATGATTGGTGTGTCTCCCAAGCTTAGTTTCTACACGGCTTGTCTAAAATGTTGTGCATGCAAACTTTGAAACACGCGTTCAACCAATGCATGCTTTCTTCCCTTAAACAGCAATATCTGAGTGTGGCTTGTGGATATGCGAAAGCGCTGCAGTGACAGTTCGTCCATGGCCGTTGGTTTTGAGCCGTGCTATCTACTTACGGTTGTTTTCTGTTTAGAGAACAATTGTGTGACGTCTGGCTAATGTCCAAGAGTCTTGTCTGAAGCTCTTCCCATTCAAGTTGGTCCCTTTGGTCATCTTCTGGACAACGTCATCTGATAATCTTCTTTCGCACTCCTCTTTGCGGCAGGGAGCAACCTAGTCGTGCCGGTTGTTAGGGTGGATAATTTTATGTTCTTTCCACTGTGTCCGAGTATTACTGCCCCAACAGCGTCTCACTTGGAACATTCAGAAGTTTCAGAAATCCCTTCTGTAACCAAATGCCATCAGGTATGTTTTGCAACAACAATTGGTTGCAGAAAGGTCTTGAGGAGAGCTCTTTGGTTTTACCCAATTATTGAGATATTTCTTGTGCTGACAACCTTGTGTGATTGAGAGACACCTTGTGTTTTATAGTCCATCAGCTGGGACACTGAATCCAGCTGTATAGTTGAATTGTGCACTGACAACGCATGCACGGATTGCTTTCTAACTTTCTAATTTTCATAAGATTTTCAGCTGTGTCTGTAGTGTGCGGGCGGCTTTCTTCATGCCTTTGTTGCAACTCTCCTGTTGAGTCAATGTGTTCAAGATACTTTTTCCCTGTGTCATTTCACATTATTTACACAGCTGATACTCATACCATTGATTGGCACATCTACTGATGGTTTGGATTCTGGACTTTGCACTCGTGGTGTGGAATTGCGATGGTGTCTGTTACCGACAGTCGGTAGTAAACCAATTTCACGTCATGTCCCAATGAGCAGCACCTTTAGCAAAGTGATATTTTAGAAACTGGAAGAATAGGCAATGGTGACATGTTTCAATTACTTATGTTTACGGCACTGTACTATCCAAACCATTAGTCTGCAAGGCGGACTATATGGTAGCCTAAAGACTGATATCTCAACAGGATGGCAAAAACGTATTAACTTCCTGGTCTTATTCTTTGGAAGGCTGCTCTTCTGGACAAACTGGTCTGAACTCGACTGCAGCAGCTTTTGTGTCAACTGCGCTGTCCTGCTGCTGCTGACCCAAATCTCATCCACCTTTTCAAGGCGGGGCGGCAAGCTTCCATCTTGAGATGAGCCTATTGCACAGTCTGGAAGCTGCCCAGCCTGTAGCGCGAACCGCCGACGGCTCGAGTACGAGCAGGCCACCAGTCGGAGCCACTGAGCAGTCCACTACCACCACTTGAGGTGCGTGGCTTAATGAGGGAGGGGCAAAATTGCTGCCTTTCGACTTTGTCACAATTAAGATTCAGAACTGGAATCTTTTTGTAGGCCACCACATGCCTAGGCTCTCCAGTGTTTTTGAAGTGATACTGAGTGGTCGCTTTATGGAAATGTAATGATTCCATATGTGCCATTATGTCTTGTGTTTTGATCGTATCGTGTTCCATGGAATGCAGAGTGAGTAGAATTGGTGTTGATAGTACCACTTTAATTGATGCACAGTAATTCTCTGCTTGTGGTTGAAAGGATGTATACAAAATATAGAATGTTTTTCCATGTGGTGGTTTATTCTCTACCCCAGCAACATAATGGGAAACAAACTGTGTAAAGGACAGGAAAAAAATCATTTATGGGTGTAGTCAGTAGGTAGTTCCGGTTGATGTCTCCTTTCTGTGCTGTTCTTAGTTTTGGTGGACAATGTCAAAATTTCCATACTGTAAGGAATGTTATGAAGTATTTGATGATTCGTGCAAGCTATGTCAGAGCAGTGTGATGTTTTCTTGGTCTGTCTGTCTGTCTGTTATTACGCTGTTAGAAAAGAATTGTTGTGTCCATCGGTGTCATGCTCTGATTAATGAAATCCATGGCATTCGTGGGGTTTTAACATATTTTTCGTCTCTTTTACTGAGTGGCAGCTGATGCAGTTTGGAAGCTGTCACCTGATTGGAGCAAAATTTCAGTTTGTTAGTTCCGATTATACATAGATAAACCCTGGTCCTTCTTAATTATATATAAATCTATGAATGTTCCACCTTATGTGTGCAGTGTTTTATAGTGGCGCTCAATTACTGTTTTTCCTCTTGTATACAGGTGTGTAACACAAATACAGCAGAAAGCCATGGTCATCAGAACTACTCAGTTCATTCATTGTTATGAGTTTAAATTTCCTTATACTGAACTCTCTTCCATGAACTCTCAAAAACTTTTAAATCAATCCATCCTGTCACATTCTCCTCTGCTCTTCAGCATTTCTGTGAAGAAAACTAAAGAAGTTAGAACTAGTTATTTTTAAAGTTAGATTATTATTTAGATATAAACTTTAGTTATATTGATATAGGCATCACTCTCTAATAAAACGCCTCGTTCTGCATTAGAAAAGTACAAACAAAGAGCTGATAGAGGAATGAGAAGAAAGCACTGAATTTGTCAAAAGGCAGCCTCAGTATGTATGACTGTTAAAGAAACAACATACTACAGACAGAATTGTATACAAAGTTCTTAAAAATATCAGGAAGACTCATTTTGGGTTCATTGTACATTTTATCAGTTGTTGTCTTCTGTTATTGTTATGCATTTAACATAATATGAAATATCCATAAAATATGTCACTGAGAAAGTTTACTAGATAGAAAAGGGCTCCCTTATGGAAACTGCTCTAAATCCTGATTATTATCAGACTGTAGTGAACATAAGAAAACACAAAGAGCTGCTGCACAGCAATGAGTTGGGGTGGGCATTTTGAGGAGGAAGAAGAAAGGGGAGGAAGAGGAGGAACTAAATTTATCATTAAACATCTAAGGCATTTGTCTCTAACACATCACAATACGTGAGTATGTATAACATATTTATCTGTAGCAGCTGGGTCTTGAACTGAAAAACTAAGACTTACACAACCACCAGGGTGGTGACAATAGATTTCAAACTAGTGTCAAAAATTCTAAACATGAGAGTTTTTGTACCTAACCTAGACAGCATAGAGACATGTTATTTTTACAAAGATATATTACTCTGTAAGTGACAAACAGATGTTTAAAGCTGCCAATTTCCATTGACTGCAATATGAGGATAAAGTAAAGTCAGAAATTCAGTTTTTGAGATACAATTCTGACTTTTTCCACAGCACATCTACCGTGACATCAAGATTTAGTAATTTGTTTAATGAACACTGGAGATTTATTTTGGAGAATGTTTTACTTTAATTTGTTACAGTCAAACATGTTTGATCATTCATTCTGAAGATGCAGTGCAGTTTGGTGTACACTGAGCAAAAGAATGTGGGAGGAGACAGCTTTAATATTTTTTTTAGATGTGTGTGTGTGTGTATAGGAGTATAGGAGTTGTATTGCCTTTAATCAATAGTGCCTTTAATCAATAGTGTCAGGAAAGGGGGAGAGAAAGACGGGATGATACGCAGCAAAGGGCCACAAGCTGGAGTAAAACAGAAAGGACTCAGTCTTGGTACGTGGAGGGCCAGCTCTACCAGGTGAACTACCAAGACGCCCTGAATTTGTAAAAGTTGTAAACTGGACCCATGTACAAAGTTTTGTTTGTTTTCATGCATTGAAAGAAGGTTTCCTGGTAAGAAGAAAAAGAAGAATGGCAGTTCCAAGAGGGACCAGCAGCTGGTTCCTGGCTGGTATATAAAATATAGAACTGAGCAAACCTGAGATAGCTGCAAGCTAAACGCGTTACTTGCTCTTAAATAAAACACAGTTTAAAGTTATAAGTAAGTTATTCCAGTGTGCGGTGGTCAATTCTGATTGCATAAAATATAAAACGTTTGACTATTCCTAATGTTTTTAATGAAGATGCCCCTTTTGGCTTAAAAAAAAACAAAAACAATATCTGCGGAACACTTAGCCATGAATATTTTATTAAGGAAGTGTGGTTTATTTTTCATTTTAACACTACTATTAAGAGTTGACCTGTCCTCTCCACACAGCACTTAAATGCACTGAGAAGCTAGGCCATTCTATTCCTGTATATACATACTGTATCCTATAAAACAGTAAATCTGTGTGTCAGATGTGCTGCAAGCTATAATGTGCTTTCACATCATCTGATATTCTGTTTTGATTTCTAAAGCAGCAGTGACCTCTGCTGTCTGTCAATGAAAGCTGGAAGCATGAGTCTGTCCTCACTTGCCCTACTTTCCCATCCTACTGATTTAATATTTGTTCACACTCACATATTTTCCAAACTTTGAATAAAGCTGTAGTAGGTAACTTTTATAAAAAATAACTTTTGTCATATTTTATGAAACTTTCACAATACCCTGACAGTAGTACATGAGACACATAATCTGTGAAAAAATCAGTCTCCTCCTAGAGCTCCTAATGGCATTTGCAAGAATCCACCGATCCTGAATGAAAGCAGCCAATCAGTTTCCAGAAATATTATAGTTGATTGTTGAGTGTCATTCCCAGTTTATCATATACCAATGCTGAGAATTAGACTCAGCAATCAACTATCTTGAAGCTGCCCAAAGTGTCTTTGTATCTTTCTCGGCTCTGATTGGATGTTTTTGTTCGGGTTGGTGGATTCTTGTAAATCTGATTGACCTGATTTTTTCACAGATTATCTGTCTCAAGTGAAAGTTTCAGCAAATATTACAAAGCAGTTTAATAAAGGTTACATACTGCAGCTTTCTATATCAGTTCCCTAAGTGTGTGAATATTTGTATTGGGCAGGCTGCAATACAATACATATAACACAGCAAAGAATTTTGGGTTAAAATTTTCCAAATAGATTTTTACTCCCAAAGTGTAATTTTAACACTTTCTGTGTTAAATGTTGTTCAGTGTTGGAGTTATTTGACGTTTGAGTTGATAATGTCAGTGTTAGCAAACCCTCTCTGGTGTTAGCCCAACTCTGCATAGATGTAATTACACTACGCCCACAATGAAATGCATTTCACTTTTTCGGTTGGAGACAAGTTGGTACCATATACACAGTAATTCAGTCAAACTTACTGAAACCATTGATGCTGTGAACTGCAGCATATACATTAAAACATCTACAGAGAATATGTTATGTACAAAGCCCTTTTTCAGGTGATTAGCTAACAGTTGTGGCTAGCAGTCTGTGGCAGCTAGCTAACTTGTGTCACCAACTTAAACCAACTTCAATGATTGTTAAACAACAATTCACATGCAAGCTAAAAGCAATGAAAAATAAAATCTTTGATTTTTACTGTATAAAATCTTGTTTAAGGGCTAGAGCTAGTCGCTAGTCCTTTTTTGCCTTCACCACAGTTTAACATACAGGGGCCATAGGGGTCACAGAAACATGTTGCAATGTGTTTTGTGTCTAGTTGTCTGTGTGACCTGGACTGCACAAGATGTGAGAAACCTTTCAGAAGCATGTTAATGACACAGGTAGAAATGTTGATATCCTCTCCACCTTCCCAAGATTCCTGGATACAAAAGATATGTATGTAGGTATTGGTAAGTTGGGAATGAAATGTTTAGAATTACTTGAAAT